ATTCCTGCCGTAGCCGTGAACCCAATGCTGCAATCATTCCCACCACGGCACGTTGTTGCCCAAGATTTGAGCCGTGGAGGCTGTAGGCATGGGTGCCTCGGCTGTAAACTCTTTTGTACTGTTGATGGAGGAAATCTTGCACCACCTTACGTCCCCAAAGAATCACAGTAATTTAAGGCCCCTAGCTGGTGCAAGGTTTCATCCATCAACAGTAGGATCTAGTTATGCAATGCAGGGTTATATCCGAAGGATTCTTCAGGGCAGGGGGACTCTTTCCTTATAGGCCGGATGTCGGCACGCTGAGCTTGCACTTGGGGCTCTGGGGTCATGTGAGGTCTTTTGACTAACCATCATCATAATTAAGCCGGAAACATGAAGTAATTCAGGGGAATCATGTCATCAAATTTGCGGGCATCAGTAGTACGGTATAATACTACCGTAGCCAAAGTTCAGGCCGACATGGTCCCTGGCAGGTCTGCAAGGTTTGCATGTTGGTTCTTCTTCTTCGCCAATCCTCGTCTGTATTTTCAAAACTCTGCAGTTCAACTCCTGTACCCTCAGCTCAGGCAACAGTCCCCCATCGCTAGCCAAACCGTGCTCCTCAAGCCAGGCCCTGCTGCCTCTGTGATTGGCTCGGTAGGAATTCCCGATTTTATGTATAAAGCTCGATGCTGACTAATACCTAATGTGTAGATTCGCGCGCAAGTTACATAGACATCTACCATGCGCCGAGCAAGCACCCACACAATCATGCCCTTGACAGACACGAGGGCCAACGACCTAAACAGACCTGAAGTCTTTGAGTTGTGTTGGCAATTGAGGGTTGGGGCGCACAGGGAACGATGGGGAATTGTAGAAACTGCTTTGACAAACTCACATCTGGAGCCAGTGAGTTTTACCCCAAACCAAAAAGCAACTCGCAAGCTGTTGATGTCGGATGTCCCTAGGCCCCTAGGATCTAAATGGGACAACTCATTTGCAAAGAAAGTCGGAAGCAACCGACACGGAAACTGGGATCATATGGTGGTTTATAGGTGCTGTTTAGCAATTGCTATTTTGATTTCCTTTGTAATTACTATCACTATGGCTATTTCTTTCACTAAGCACAATTATTGTTGTCAGTAGGGTTGAAGGCGTTAGCTGTTCCACACTAGTCCAAGGGCGCCTCTCTACATGCTAAACCACATAAGCAAACAGAGATGATTGGACAAGAACGAATTGTTCAGGGGATGATAGGGGAGTTTTACGGAAACTCCCCCATGATTGTTCCTGATGACATAGTCTCCGTTCGACAAGAATGTCTCACAATGTACACACAGCTTATAGCCCCATGTGGTAGTTTCCCAAAATAAGGGGACCCCAATATACACCCCAAAATACTATAGCCCTTAATTTGGGGACCCCCAAAAAGGTACCCCTGTTTTTGGGAAGCTTCCATATCCGTTCCCCAACCCCACCACCCTCACATCATGACAACCGCACGACTCCAGCAAGAACTTTCTGACTGCTCACAAACCCAAATCTTGCCAAACACATCCCGTGTGCAAACCCCCTAGATCCAACACCCCATTTAAGCTAAGCTTTAGACCCTAGACAGTTGCACCCGAAGCCCCAAAGCTGCTGAACCGCGAAACTCTCATCCGCCACTGCGCCCTGAAAATTCAAAAGTCTGATCGTGGCCAAAGCTGCTACTAGCAGGGAATTCCGAAGTCCGTGCGCGGCAATTTTGGCCTTTGACGTGCAGCACTTGTCTTCAGGCACAAGCTTTGGGATTCGCGGATGCCGGGATGAAGGTTTCGGTACTTCTGGGCTTGGACTGCGAAGGCACTACATATCACGACCTTGCCCTGTTTCACAATGCCACCGAATCGTGCAACCCAAAAAACAAGTAAGAACCTTACCAGGAAATGCGCCGAAACCCAGATCTTCTGAAATCCGCAACTGACATTCTTACTCAAGCTCAGTTCCCAGCATGCCCATAACACACTTGAACACAGTCCGCCATTCCCCGGTAACCATAGAGCGCTCCATTGTTCTGACGGAAGGCCCTTGCTGCAGTAGATAGCCGTATAGCCCCCTATACTTAAGCCCAATTATGAAACCCCATATAGCCTTCCTAAGCCCTATGAACCCTAGAGTTGGAAACTCCCCAAACGGCCTTCAGCGCCGTCCAATCCCATAAGCCGCTCCGAGGGATTTTCGACCAAAGGTCGAACTGCAGCCGACCTGGCTGAGCGCTGGCTTTGGGGCTCTGTAGCCTTAAGGGGATGTAGGGTTTAGGGTTACAGATTTAGCGCCGGGGGATTAGAGTTTAAGATTTAGGGCTTTTCGGGCCTAGGGTTTAACATTTTTGGGCTTATGGTTTAAAGTTCCGCTTAGAGAGTCTGCACCAGGTTCAAGGCTTTCTGGCCTACTTGCAGCGATATCTGAGGCCTGCAGAATTTGGACATGGGGGCTTCGCACCTTTTTTGGGGCGTCCCAAGAAAAAGGATCAGAGCAGTTGGGATCCATATTGGGTTCCCCCTGTTTGGGGAAATTACCAAAGTGTTTCATCCTAAGCTACTACTATTACTATCATTACTGTTATCACTATTATCACAATCATTACTACAATTCCTACCATCACTGTTGTTACAAGAGGACCCATGGGGTAGGCAGATCTGTTTCCAAAAATACACGTAAACCACCGACTCTTACACCCTTCAGGGTCCGGTTGTCCAAACAGAGCCCTACATCCTACGCTCTCGCAAGCCTAGGCCCGCGAAACCCAACACCCAAGTGACACATCCTGAAAAACATTTCCAAAGCCGTGACAATGAACTTCCCTTTTGGGCTTCTTTGTTGGAATGGCGTCTGGAGATTCATGATACCTATGGCATACTGTTGATGGAGGAAATCTTGCACCACCTTAAGCCCCTACAGTCCCAGGAATTACGGTATTTCAGGGCCCCTGGGTGGTGCAAGATTCCATCCATCAGTATGGCCATGAGACCCTGCATTACTTTCTCTGCTTCTTTGAGGTGACTCTCTTTTCGTCGTCAGCCCCTCTGAATTCCCAAACTTGCATTCATTTCCCCTTGGGTCCTCTCTTCAGGGATCCTCTGCCAACATGTGGGCCATCGCGGTTCGCTTCATTCCCCAACTCAACAACAAAACCAGCCTCTTGACGAGGAGCATTCGGGTTCCTACCTTGCGTAGTTCTCATTTGTAGTGTGTGCATGACGACTGAAAGCACTCTGATGCGTCATGTCCAGAGAACACGAGCCTCTCAAAAACGCCACAAGCCTTTACGGCTGATTCTGTGACCCTAAACCCCTATACCCAAATTCAAAAGATGGCTGCGAATGGCTGCAGACGGGTCTGGGGGGAGAAAAATGGTGATGCCGAACATTTGTTTTGCATGCGATTTGATGCGAAGCGCCGAAAAGTCAAAAAGTAACGAAATGTTGAGAAGTCGAAACGTCCGAAAGCCTCAAAAAGTCGAGAAGGCGTAAACACAATCTCAAGAATCGAAAGGTCCCAAAACGTCAAAATGTTCTGAAAAGCCCGAGTCCCGAAAAGCCTGGCAAAGTCAAAGAATCCCTAAAAAGTCGAAAAGCCACAAAAATCCCGACATGCTTCGAATGGTCCAGGGGTTCCGATAATGCGAAAAGGCGAGCAACCTGGAAAAGCTCTGAAAATTGGGAAATCCAAGCATGCCGAAATGTTGACAAGTCCCGCAAAGCCCACCCAGAACAGTAAACATTGACAAATCTAGCAAACTGAAAAATCAAATCCCAGACTGAGCTTGATGGGGTTGAACATGAAGCAGGCTGTCCGCTGTTGTAGATATGTGGGATACGAAGCATTGTTACAATGAAGAATCCCATGAATGGGAAGGTCGGAACGTTTGATTTGCTTGTTGGCCTACTCATGCAAATCTGGGATGCTTCCTTTAGAAATGATGATACTGATCCACACCACCACCCCGCACCCCACAACCACCACCACCGCCGCCACCGCCACCGCCACCACCACCGCCACTGCCACCGCCACCCCCCCCACCCCCACCACCCCCACCCCCACCACCCCCACCCCCACCCCCGCACCCCCACCACCACCACCACCACCACCACCACCACCACCACCACCACCACCACCACCACCACCACCACCACCACCACCACCCCGTCCCGCACTCCCATCCAAACCCCACACACCCTAGACGTCAATCAAATTCATACTTTGAACCGAAATCAATTAAGGCGCGTGGGGTGGTGCTCCTATACAGCGACGACGCTGACGACGATGACTACGACGACGACGACGACGAAGACGAAGACGACGACGACGACGACGACGACGACGACTACTACTACTACTTCACCTGGGTGAGGATTTCGAGTCGAAGTGGTTTTGTGCAAAACACGGGTTTGTATTGGGTGGCTTGGGGCTCGATGTCTTGGACCTTAATTAAGGCATTTAAAGACGAGGCTAAACTCGGCCGCTCTTGGTCCTGATAAAACTGCCACGCCTGAACAAAAGTGGACGTTTTGCGATGTTTGAATTTTTGCCCGCAAGTTGAAAAGTAGAATGTTTGTGAACGAAAAATCAGCTTTCCACGTTTGCCCGAAAAGTCATAAAAGTAGCTCTTTGCGAAACGCGCATTGTTTTTGACAAAGCAGAGAAATGAAACTGCTTGCGGGACGTGAAACTTTTTGAATTTTTGCTCGAAAACCGAAAAGTTCGCTTTTTGTGAAAGTGAGACCTTTGACTTTTGACTTGTTGAAAACATTGCGGCATTCTCCGGCTGCGCCCATCCATGTCTCATTGCGAGCTTAGCACGCTTAGCATTCCTGAGAACCAATGGGCTACTAACACCAATACCAAAAAAATGCATTACTGGTCACATTAATAACACCTCCCATGAACTCATATAAACATTCAACTATTATTGTTTATGACAAGTTATATTAGATTCGTAAAATACCCAATTCCCCAAATGTCTCAGATGCTGTAGCCTTGGCTGGCTGGACTTCCGGCAAAGGTCTCATAGGGCCCGGAAAGCTCGGCAAGCTCGCAGGAGGCCTTGGGTCATGAAATTCCTCTAGGCTGGATTGGGGCTTAGGGGTAGAAATAAGGATCAGGGTTTTGGGGAGTTGGGGTCAAGCGGATTGAGGTTTCATGTCTAGGTTTAGTGACTAAACCCTAAACCCTTAAGTAGGAAGTCAAAGTGAATCTAAGTGAGAAATACGGGGTGCGCATGCTGGATGGTAAGGGCTATGATGATATCATAGGAATCGCCACGGGGGCTACTACTTACGAGCTGTATCAATAAGCCAGTATCTGTATGTGAGAGCCTCAACGTGTGCCATGTTCTGCGACAACACCCCTAAACCCTAAACCTTAAACCGATCCCCTAACAAATCCAAACACGGAAGGAACTCCTAAAGCATGGCCCCCTTACTGTGGATAGAGGAAATCATGCACCACCTAATATGCCCGACACTCAGTATTAAATCTTAGGGGAACCTACATGCTGCAAGATTTCCTCCATCCACCGCATGAAGCATCTTGGGAGACCAGCCTAGCCCAGGGAGGTCCACTAAAGGGACTCCAGACTAATCTCAGGCCACAATATGTTCCTAAAAGTAAAATTAGGGTCCCATTTTGGTACCCACATTATACAGGGGTATATAGGGATATATAGGGGCTATATAGGGTTTAGGGTTGTAATGGCAAATTTTGTAGACATACAAAAAGGCTGCTCGTAGGTAAGCTGTTACATCATGGGGAGTATGTACGAGGTATGTATAGGGATGAATTCGGCACTAGAGATTGTCACAGGAACTACAGCGGTACACCTTGCACGTGAGGCAAGGTGCACAACCCTTCCACACCCTCTGCCCAAGGGTGGCAACAATTTCAAAAGTGGCCATCAAACAACAGCAAACTAGTGGTGCCTGTATGTGCTGGAGGCTGTACGGCATTATCAGAACCAGAAATGATGACAGCAGCTTTCATGTTAAACCATCTCCTCTGAGCACAGTCTAGATCAAAGAGCTTACGATTTTTTGAGGCAGCTATAGCATGCTACAGCTATAGCTCAAGCACATGTTTGAGGACAACACCATGGAGGCTTGTAGTGAGAGTAACTGCAGTGTTGAGACAAGACTGAGAGTTAAACCATGGGGAGGTCTCTTGCCAGGATTGTCGGATGCCTGTGGATCCCTTCTGCGTGTCTGCCATGTCTTGAAGAACGCTCCGCCCAGAAGAAGCACCCATTTTTATATTTCTACGTGATAGGGGGACTTCTTGAACTTCAGCGCTCATTGTTGGAGCTTTTACGCTGGGGATGATTCGACTTTGGTGGTACATGCGGGACGTCAAATTTGAGAAATGCCTTGGTGCAAAGGCGCCTCACAAGCTGCGAAGTAGATGGTCTCAAAGATGTCCTGCTCAGACTACATGGGTGTTTCCCAACATCACTGGCGCATGATTCAGGCGTTCTCATCAAGAAAACGGGAGAAACATCTCTCGGCATGAAGAAACTTTGGCATGTTTCAGAACCAGGTTCCAGATATGCCGGACTGGTCTTGATCTTTGTGTCAGACTCAAAGGACCTTCTGGCGCACGGACCCTTGGAGTAAAGACCTTCGTACAACCTCATCGTATAACCCCATTAACCCCCGTGCTGACTGCACACAAGGGCTCCTCAAGAGGGTTTTTCGAAACTTCAATAAGCCCAAATCCTTCAACTACCTCCTCTACCTGAATCCCTCGACGCGAATCACTGCACCACCATAGGCAGCTTTTCCCTGAAGTCTCTGTCCTCGTTCAGTCGCCTGGCCTCGTCGCTTTCGAAGGGCAACTTCCTGACATCAGGGCTTGGCTTGTACGATTTAGGGATAGATTCCGCATACGGACCACAGGGAGATACGCTAGGTGGCAAGGGCCTAGACTCTTCAGATCTAGAAGCTGATTGAAGGAGATTGCAGCGGACTTTTCATTCAATGAAGGGCAGCGAACTAGGTGCAAAGGTTGTGGGTAGCAATTTCCAGGCTGCACTTCTAAGGGTTCGAGAATGCAAAGGAGGTGCGGGGAAGCATGTGCCTTATTCACGTGCTTCAGCTAATCTTGAATTCCGTGCCGGTGGTTAAGGACAGTCTTGCCCTAGAAGCCATGCAAAAGAAGAGATCGCCCAGAGCCAATTCTTCAAGGGCCTGCAACATTCAGCTTGTTCCACTTCTAAGTACCAGGTGTCACATTATTAATGGTCGCTAGCCCCTAACTTGCCCAGAGATCATGCAGCTGTCAACACTCCCGAGACCCCACCCTGGACCCCTCACTTCATTCCCAATCCCCGCTCATATTCCGCGAGGCACATCATGAGGAAGGCATCAGCGAGGCCCTGCACGCCAAGACCTGAGCATGATGTAGGGCTTTAGGATTTATACCCAGACCCTAAACCCCAAGGATGTGATGAATCCTCTCTACGGCCTAGGCAGAGGATTGGCTTGAAGTCAGGTGGAAGTGAGGCTTAGGATAGGGCTCACAGATCCAGAGGCCCAGTAGTGCTGTGCTCTTGGATAATTCTTACGGTGCATCAGGGCAGCTGTACCTGCTAGCAGTATTTTCTCTGATGAACAACAGCCGTAAAGCAAGTAGCTCTGGTCAAAGCACATGGCACCACCCAGGGATGACCAGCTTCCGTCGAAATTGAAGAAGCACAGCCCAAAAGGGCCTTGTGAGAAGCCCCGACGATAGTGCACAGAAGCAGCTAGGGACCTACAGGGCCTGAGATAGCAGACCCACTCCCGGCAACCTGAACAGTATAATATGTGTGCTACGCCCGCCAAGAATTGAAGAAGATGGTCTTGAGCCCAGTGCCAACGGCAGGCTGCAGCAAAGCCTGAAAACAGAACTCTTTGCCCCCACATGCTCAGCTTCAAAAGCTGTCCCCATCAGTTGTCGGTGGCCGGAAACCCCAAGCCAACATCTGCACTTCCGAATCCTCCCCTTAAATCCTAAACCCTAGCCTTAGCCAGATGATGTCCTCAACTCTCCAACACCAATGGTAGGCTCTCACTGAACACGAGCCGCGGTACCCACCGGTCGATGGCGGAAGTTGGATTTTCGAGCTTCAGGAACTGGGTAGTAGTTCCTGCTGAAGCTCTGGCCGGACTGCTTTCAGTGCAGTTCGTTTTCCCCACCCTTGGAATGAGTCTGCTAGATTCGATATCCGCCAATATCACCCCAAACCCGAAGTGGCTTCCAGTTTCAACCCTGGCTCCTGGAGTCAAAGAGCTTGCTCCGCACTTGCCAGGAGGATTATAGTACGAGGGGTATAGAAGAGAGGGCCATCTGTAGAAAGTACGAATGGGCCATAATAGCTGCAAAGGGTCATGGAGAGCCATATGTCCTCCTATCCTCTCATGTCCTTTTGCGGTCCACACCAGGAGGTTTTGCGTTGAAGGGTTGGCTGTGCGGCTATGGAAGAGTGTAATGCACGTTAGCATGACAAATATACATCTTAAAGGATATATCTGACATGTCCCCGTTGTGGGTGCAAACCCTACGCAACGAACAATAAACCTCAACAATTCACCTTCACTCAAGATCTTGTGGATTGGCATAGGATCTACTTGAAGGGTCAGGGGGACAGCAAATACTTTAATAATGAGGAAAACCGGGGTTATTATATGGTGATGAGAGTTATACGTATACTTACAATACTAAGTCCCCGGACACTCCAAGTAGCTTAGGACTGAACTTCGAACCCTTATTTGGTCACACACTGGCAGGGGAGTGCTCTGAAGCCGTTCTCTAACGCCCCTGGTAGTTGGGTGGTCTACAAATTGGAGGCTGGTATACAGGGACCTTATTAATTTTTGCCACATAGTTACAGCCACGTGCTCTCAAGTACTGGGTGATCGAACTCCTGGCGAATTCTCCTGATGAGTCTAAATCATAGACACGGGAAAAGCACGGAGCATGATGGGTGGATTAGTATAGTATCCCTAAGCACATATAAGAACCCATGTACTGTAATACGGTCGATGTTCAGCAGACTTGCAGGATGGATGGTTTTTCAGAACACTGGGCAAAGGCATCCTGAACGTGCCTTACAAGACCAGCTTGGCAGTGTCCTGTCGATGACCTTGTTCAAGTTCCGCGTGACCACCTTGGTGACCTGCGGGCTTTGAATGCACTTGGCTCAGTACGACTCTCAATCAAAGATATCCCACGAAATTCTCATTGCGTCATAATTTCACGTAGCTGTTCGCCTACTATCACTTCTGACGCCCCACAACGCCATTTGTCTGGCTTTCAGGCTTCAAGACAACGGCTTTGTCAGAGTTGACTCTGTATGAGCTTCCAAGCAATGGCAGTATGCTATATAGCGGCGTCTAACACACGGTTTGGGAGAGTAGGGTAAATTGCTGAAGGCACCGAGGGCATGCGAGCCTTGCGCAGCAAGTCAAGCCTTCTCCTCAAAGTGTTGAGCTATTTCTTAGGACTGGATGGTAACCCAAAGCATGCTTTGACTGCGGTAGATCTCCTCATACTGCCCTCTTGCTGATTGCAGGGAGCGCAGGGCACATTCTCTCCACCTCACAATGCCCTCTCAACGACGCTGGAGCAACAGATCGTTGGTTCTATTTTTCAGGCTCGGGGTGAGGGCCTTTGGGTGCTTATCTTGAACTACCAAGTCTACTTATTGCTAGGATCCTCTCTGAAGTCCGAAAGCTCTCATTTGAGGCGTTTGTGGGCGTTTCATAGCGTGATCGCTGTACAATTTTGAGTATGGGCCCTCAATCATCCATCTCCCTGCAACCCGATTGTACATCGTCAGAGATCCCAAAACCATTTCCGTGCAGTGCCTCGCAGAGACGGTGAAAGTCGTACTTGGCACCTTTTCTCAAGTTGGCCACCAGTGGACACTGACCGAGTTCTGAGATTGGGGTTCAGGCTTGACATAGTTTTCACTGTAGGATGAAGGAATGCAAGGCGGGCTCTAAGCCTCTAAGCCATACAGCTGGGCTTGAAGGTTCAATGGCTTATGGTCAGGTGTCTGGGGTTAATGTAGCCTGCACAAGTCCACCTTTGCTCGGGTTATGTTGAGGCCGATCACGTGCTTGGCCACTGCCACGTGATGCTTCAAATAAACTTTGCAGATACGTCCCTCCTTCAGTAGGTAGAACCAGCACAAGGCAAGCCTTGTTATGTTTCATGTGCCTGGGCTTAAGGGCTTGCGGCTCAAGACGGCGTATGTTGGAAAGCAGACTGCAGAGATCATTACTACTATTCTTACGACCAGTATTACTATGATTACTATAAGAATATTACGTCTTACTATAATACTATTCAAGCGCAGTTGCGTCTTGCTGCCTTGGCCTGGTCTTTTGGGTTTAGGGGCTCTCTCTCTCTATATATATATATACACACATACATACACAGACACTATAAACTGTCTCCAGCTGTTACTGGGTTCTAGAATAGGGGTATTATTAAGGGCTCTCTCTCTATATACATATACTATAAACATTATCCAGCTGTTGCTGGCTTCTAAAATAGAGGTATCATTACGGGCTATGTATATACAATTAACATTATCCAAGTGTCACTGGGTGGGGGCAGTATCCAAGATTGCGGTCTTTTGAGCCCTGCAGCCTAAACAAGGGGCCCGACAAGGCCTGAGACCCTTCTGCAATGCAGCTGCTTCTGAACCCCTGCGGGGTTCCGGTTGTGAGCGGTGCCGTGCAAGTGGATCTACGACAGTAAGCAGAAAACAAGACTTCATAAGTTTCTTCGGTATTGGTATGGTTCTAGAAAGATGGCTGGGCACGGACAAGCCCATCTACAACCCCTGACCCCCCGACCAGGCAACCTAGACCAAATCCTGAAGCCTTCCACCCTAAACCCTCAGCCCCAAACCCCTTGACCTTGTAAGCCTTGGACCGCATATCCGAAATCCGTCATCCCACCTTCCATGTAGCCCTATACGATCGCTATGCAGCCCGGCAAGCACTGCAAAACTATAAAACCCTACATAATCCTATGTTACCCCACACAACCCGATGAAACCGTAAGTAACCCGCCATTAAAAAAAAAACCCTAAACCCTAAACTAACCCTCAACCCTAAACCCTTAAACCCCAAATCCCTAAACCCTAAATCCTAGTCCCTACCCAGACCGCGCCATCCGCATCTACGAAAGCCGGCAGCGAGATCGAGGCCAGGTTGCACACGGCCACCTCACGGATTGATTTAGGGTTTAGGGTTTAGGGGATTAGGGTTTAGGGTCTCAGTAACAGTTGGATAATCATTTTAATATGGTTATATATAGCCCTTAACAGGACCCTTATATAAACTGTTACTGGGTTGGGGGCAGTACCCAAGGTTTAGGGTTTAGAGTTTACGTAAGGGTTTAGGGTTTAGGTTGTGTAAGGGTGTAGGGGTTTAGAGCTTAGGGTTTAGGGTTTAGGGTTTACGTAGGGGTTTAGGGTTTAGGGGTGTAGGGGTTTAGAGTTTAGGGATTTTGGGTTTAGGGGATTAGAGTTTAGGGGTTTAGGGTTTAGGGCCAAGGTTGGGTTATGTAGGTGTTATATCGAGATAATAGAAAAGAAATGGAAACTACTATAGGGTTTAGGGTTTCGGGTTTGGTTCAGGTTGGTTTAGGATGGGTTTGGGGGGAGGCATAGGGATAATGGAAAAGAACATGGAAGCTACAGGGATTATAGGGATTATATCGGGTAATATAAGGTCATAAAGGGATAATGGAAAAGAACATGGAAGCTACTATCATGGGCTCTATAGAGTTTAAGGCTTTAGGGGTCTAGGGCTTAGGATGGGTTTAAGGCTTAGAGTTTAGGATGGGTGTAGGGTTTAGGATGGGTTTAGGGTTTATTTAGGATTTAAGGATTCAGGGCTTGAAGGGTTTCGGGTTTAGGATTGGTCTGGGGATTCAGGGCTTTAGGGGTTTAGGGATTAGGAGGGGTTTAGGGTTTAGGATGGGTTTAGGGATTCAGAGCTTTAGGGGTTTAGGGATTTGGAGGGGTTTAGGGTTTAGGATGGGTTTAGGGATTCAGGGCTTTAGGGGTTTAGGGTTTGGGATGGGTTTAGGGATTCAGGGCTTTAGGGGTTTAGGGTTTAGGATGAGTTTAGGGACTCAAGGGTTTATGGCTATATGCACGGGCTTTAGGGGTTTGCGGGTATATGTAGGGGTTTGGCGTAGGGTTTTGTGGGTTTGGGGGCCCAAGTATCTTGCCCCATCCTCATAATTCAGACGCCTGCGTGCATGCAATCTCCGGTTCCCCTACACTTCTGTGGGGAAGAAGGGGGACTCCCTTAAACCCTCGTTGAAGGCCATCGTGGGTGCGGTGCATACAAGCCCTTTGTAAACCTGATATGGTTCAGATAACATCTGGTCCCTAGCAAAATCTGCCCCAACCTGCTAAGCCCTGAACGTCCCCAAAAAATCGATCATGACAACCCTGCACCCCAAAACACCCGAAACACCCAGACACCCTAAACCCCCAACACCCTGAATTCCTGAACCCCTACATCCCTAAACCTCTAAACTCCCAAGCCACTGAACCCCTAAAACCCTGAAGCCCTCGTGCAAAAGGGTCACAGGCACATAAAAAACCTG